CGCTATAGTACCTTTGTTGCACTTTTGGGCGATGTTCATGGTCCCGCCCCCGGCAGGCCACGCTGAGGCCGTGGAGTTTCGATGCTTCTCACTTCTTTGCAACTGCGCCAGCATCGCCAGGCGGCTGAAGTTGCTTGGCTGCCTTTTATATTTTATATAGTTTCCTTGATGGAGCGCTGTCAGCCACTAGGTTGTCTTTGAGCAATGTTAGAGTTTGTTAGCGATGTTAAGTTGTTGAAGATCATATTGCTGAGAGTTTTGAGAGCTTGTGAGGTTCATTGTGGGGCCCGATCAAGTCGGAGAAAGCCTCGTTGCGGAATACAACCGTGTTGTCGGCGAATTCCTTCGCGAATGCAAAGATCTTCATGAGCCCGAATTGCGGCCGAAGCATCATTATGCACTTCATCTCGGCTTGCAATGGCTACAGCACAGCCAACTGGCCGATGCATTTGTGCATGAGCGGAAGCATCGATTGATCAAAGCAAAGATTGAGTTACAGGCGGGGCCCGCCGAAAATGTGTCAGCCCAGATATTGACTGCCTTGACTTGTGTCCAAGCCAAAGAGATGCGCGCCCTTGGGCTCTGGGAGCCGCACTTTGCTTCTGATTCAGAGCTGAAGCTTCCGCGCATGAGTTTGCACACGGGGCAGCCGCTGCTGCTGGCGTCTGAATGCATCCTGCTTGAAGCATTTCGTCGCCGAGGCGAAGTGATTGAATGTCTAGGAGCGGTTTTTAGACGCGTGGCTCAAGAGATGCCCGGCGTGCTTTCTTTTGAGCCCACACGCTGTAAGGCGTGGCGTCAGCTTAACTCCTGTAAATGGCTTTGCCCTGCCTATTGGAGAGAGGTGGATGGCAACTTGCTCGTGTTGGTTTGACGGACTCGATGGCTGTCTTGAAAAAATGTGCGGCTTGAGAGTTTTGGAGAGTTTCGAGAGCGTGGAGAGTCTTGAGAGTTTTGACAGCGTTCATTGACGGATCCTTGAAAGATTTCAATCTTTTTCGACCGCTTTCGTATCTACGCACTGCTTGTTTTCTGCAATTCTGTGCTGACCACAACGTGTGATTTTTGCTCTCCGATAAGTTTTCCTAACTTTTTGTAACTTTTTATAAGGTTTTATAAGTTTTTATAAGTTTTTCTAACTTTTTCTATCTTTTTTTGCGAACTTACTACCTGCGGATAATTGTTTGTATCTGTTGCAAAGTTAGTTGTAAGTAGATGCAAGTTCCGCTAAATCTGTGTAACCTCTATATCTTGTCTGTAACTCCTGCGGCTGGTCTTAGTTGGGCCCGTGTTTCTGACCAGGAGAAAGATTCTTGCCGTTCGGGACGAGATCCAGATGGGTACGTGGAAGGCTGCGTACATGTTCGATGATTACACGATAGTGTATCATCGCGTTTGGGAATATGGTGACTTCACTCCCGATAGGGGAAATCACAGGCGGACGCGTGAGGGCGTCAGGCTGAGCGTGACTAGCACCTTCTGTTTGAGGTGCGCGGAGCTCACGCCATCTGGGATGCATTTGTGCCCCGGTTGTGCGCTCCCGGTCTTTTATCCGAACTTCATCCCCAACGCGGACGTGGAGGACTTCGTTAGGAGCCAAATCGTCCCGGACTGGGTGAGGAGCACGGGACAGTTTAGTCCCCGGAGGATCGCTTCCGATGTGGTCGGGGTCATCAAGAGGAACCTGATTTCCTATTCGATGGCATCCGACCTGAGGCTGACGGTGCAGAGTGGGATCAGGCTGCCTCCTTATCTCGGTGAAGACAAGGGTGGCGTTGACGCGGCGTGGGATGAATTGGCAAAGGTGCTTTTCCAGTCCTCCTACGTGTCGGGCATCTCGGCCTCGGACGCATTCGTGGAGAAGTGGGTGGCGAAGCATCTGATCAAGACCGACCAAACCGATAGATTTGAGTCGGTGACGGATTACTTCCGAGCGAATCCGGCGCATGCGGCCCAGTGGGGGAGACGTATGACGACTTCCGTTAGGAAGTTCGCACGTCACGACACGTATTTGTCCTTTTACATCCCGATGGCCTATGTGATCGGTGCTGCTGCGGGTCATTTGACTCCGATGTACCCGACCCATAGGGATGATGTGGAAATCCTGGCCAGCCATCGGTTGATGTCGGACCTCAGGAACTACCTGGTCTCGTCTACGGGGTATGATGAGAAGAAAAGGTTGAGGGAGGCGGTAGCCAAAGTGCAGAAGGCAATCAGTGCTGGACAGTCGGAGCCTCCTGCTCCTTTCCGGGACCCATTCGTCTACGTTAGTGACGATCGGGTGAGGACCGTTCTTGGTGCTCAGCAACCGGAGCCGGTTGATGTGAACATCGAAGAGCTTCAGTCGGTACATCATGTTGCTCCGGGTCCTGGTCCAAAGCAGGAGCCGGTCACCAAGGGTGGAAAAGGAAAAGGGAAGAAGGGCGAGAAGGGTGGTAAGGGCGATAGTCCTTCCGACCCACAACCGAAGTCAGGCGAGGCATCGGGCAAAGGATCTGGCAAGGGCGATAGTCCTGCCGCTCCGAAGGCAAAGGCTAAGGCTGACGCTGGGCCGACTCCGATGGAGGTTGATCCGCCGGAAGGTCAAGCGAAGAAGTCGTGGATCGCGGTAGCGGTCGAAGGAGCTCGACCAAGTGCAAAGGCAAAGGCAACTTCAGCCCCGAGGTCTGAGCCGAAGGGAAAGGGAACTCCGGCTTCTGAGTCGAAAGGCTCTCAAGCTCCGAGGACCGAGCCCAAGGAGAAGACGCGTGGAGACCCCAAGGTTGAGGTCAAGCAGGAGAAGGGGAGCGGAGATGATGCTCCCGGCGATAGCCGGGGCTCAGCCGATAAGCAAAGGAGAGAGAGAAAGTCTCGTTGGGATCATGAGGTGCCTGCTAAGGAATCAACGAAGCGGGAGGCATCGAAGAGACCCGATGATGTCGACAGCAGGCCAGGTGCAGCGGCGAGAGAGGCAAGTGGAGACGACCTTCACTCCGCGCTTGGTAGGTCTTCGGCAAAGGACGCGGTAGCGCCCCTGACGGCTTCCAAGGCAATGGCGAAGAAGCCAGAGGGGAGCGAAGTCAGGCTGCACTCGGCGGGGCGAGCTGCCGCAAGCCCGGTGGAAGGTCATTTCAAGACGCTACCGGATGCTTCTATGGTGGATGCGTTCCTGGGGATGTCATCCGATAGGGCGCTCAACAGACAGGTGAGAGACTTCATCAGGAACGGCGAAACAAGTTCGGCTTTGGAAGCTCTCAACCAGATCGTGGCGAACTCCCACGCGGGGCGGATACGTCGGGGTACCGATGTTTCCCGAACGCCGTCTAGGAGGTCCGATAGGACACAGGACACTATAGGGATTCCCGAGAGTCGAGAAGGCGAAGATATCGACCACGGAGGGACGAGGATCGAGATCGTCGGAGAGACGATCGTCGGGATCATCGGGATGATGATTCGCTGGAACGCGACAGAGATCGACGGAGAGATGATCGCAGGAGATCCGAGAGGGATCACGACAGGGACCGTGCGCGGGGCGGACGTGACCGGAGGAGGCGTGATGATAGCCGGTAGGCTGATTCACGAGGGTTGCGGCCGGTAGGCTTGCACCCGCCCTCCAATGGTCAACGCTGCGGGGTGATGATCACGTTCATCCTGCACCGCTGAGGCGTGTTGTCCATGCCTCTCCTGTACCGCTGATCTGCTGCTGGTGATGTTCACCAAGAAGTAGTGTGAGTGAGCGGGGAAGCAAACCAGTGGAGGGTACTCCCAGGTTTGCAGAAATTAGTATTCTATTTCAAGTATGCATGGTCAGGTGTACCTCTCGCCGATAGGCAAGGGTACAGATTGGACAAATGATATCCTTTTTCATGGCTTCTGATAAGAATTAAACTTCTTGCATTTCTGATGCAAACAGTTGTGACCTATTGTCGTCATGTGGACTTTTCCACAAGGTATGTTGGACAGCGTTACCCCGATTAATTCGGGGTGGTGGCGGGAATTTAATGCCCGGGATGTCGCCCGACTGCCTTTGTGGGTTTGCTCCACCGCTGACGGCGGTAGTGTCCAGCTGTTTGCGGACGTATGCGAGCAGTTAAATCCTATCAGTAAATGGCACGCTCCACCCGTCATATGACGGGCTCCTCGTGAGGGGGGTGTGATTAGCCATGGTTTATTTCATCACCAGGGATGTCGCGGTAGTGACTGACCTGTGGTGTTTGGCTCAAGATTTTGGGTTCCGTCGCGCCTCGAATGGGCGTCGCCGAACCCCTGCGTCGACCGACGGCATCTCGGGGGAGAAAGAGACCTCGGGCCGCCGCCAGGTTGGTAGGGACCAGTCGTGCGGCCTGTTGTCGACCAAGGTTGCGGGTTAACCCTTTTCTTGTTTGGTTTGTTTTCCTTTGGTTGCTGTTCTCTGGTGTGTGGGAAACCCTGATCTTTGGGACCGGGGATTGGTTTGCTTTTGGGGAACCTTTCTTTTGTGGCTTGTTTACCCCAACTAACCCATTGCCTGGGCACAGGCTCGTGCCCGAATCACATATATGTATATATAGAAATATTATATATATATATATATATGTCCGTAAGTGATATTTTATATATATATATATATATATATATATATATATATGTACATATATATATATAATGTTTCGCATGGTGAAGAGGTGCGGCTGCAGGAGCACTGGCTGGACCTGGACGTATGATTAAATTGTTGCGACTATCAATTTTCGGCGCATTTCAAGATGCACTGCCTGTATGTGTATCACGCACATGCTTGTGTTTAGCCGTCCATGAAGATAGCGCCGGTGTTTGAAACGATGTAAGAGCAACATTGTGAGGACAGGTCCTCGTGCAAGCATATTGCATGACAGTCAATAACATGAAGGCCACATCGTCTTGTAGAGAGAGGATCAATGAGCCGCATGAACAGGCTCAATTGACATAAGGGAACTGAGTTGCTTGATTCGGTTTTAAAATCCCTCATAATCCTGTTCGCATTTATACACAGATGTTGCATCGAGGCGGCCGCGGGGCAGGGGCACTCAGCGAGTTGTGCAGGGTGAAAGCAGATGGCACGAGATCCATTGCGAATGTAGAGGTTCAGTGTCCGGGCAAGGCAATCCAAACATCCTGTCACGTGCTTTGATACGGATGTGCATTCCAGCGATTCCCTAGTTCAAGCGCAAATGAACACAACATAGCTACCCGACCAATACTTTGACTAACTTTTGTGTGTTTTAATGAAACCAGGCCTGCAACCAGGCTCCCATGAAACACTTCCAGATGCAACTTTAAATTCCGGTAAATGTATAGTGCCAAGTGCCAAGATCCAAAACGCTGGCTGGCAAATATGGATATGTTGAAATGTCAGGTGCGGTTCCAAAATTTAAAAGGAAGCATGGCATCGATGCTCAGAGTGAAACTTGTCTGGGAGCCCAGTCTCACGCACAACTTGGATTGCAACCGGCACACAAGGCGGTCTGTTTTGTTTTCTTTTGGGGGGCCATTTTGGGGTTGGGTTACTGTAAAGGAATTGCAAAAGGGCAGCCAGGCATTTTGGAGGTTTCCCTATTTTGAAACCACCCAAAATGCACACAATGGCAGCCTCCAATCAATGCCCTCTTGAGGTGCATATCTTCTTACTCAAGGGTGCAGTGATGACATCGGAGCTCATAAATGTCGCTAGAAGACGTGAACCGCACTCTTTGGTCTGGCCCTCTACCAGCTATGTGGGCTCAAGTCTGATTTCCTCCTTTTTGCTGGTTTGGGCGAGGTTCAAGGGCCCCCCCACGGGCTATCTAACTGTGCGGACAGGTATTTTATTTTCTTCACTTCCTCTCGTGCTAGAACACTAACCAGAGGACCGATGCACGTGATCAGCTCTGGTATCCAAGCTTGATTCAAAGGTGCTGTTGGTCTGTATTGCCCAGGGTCTTGTGGTAGTGGGAGTCTTGGCCGTGTTCAAAACAATACCGAAATTCTTACCCAACATGTGCATTGTTCTTGTTTGTGTTTTAGGCATTCGCAACTCGCAAAGGCCGTGATCCTTCAACTTTGCTCAAAGTTTAAAGATGGATTGCACAGGGATTGCTTTGACCGGATGGTTTATCCGCTTCCATTGCCCTCAAAGCCCGGAAAGAGTTGTCACGGAGCAAGTTGTGACCTCGAGCGAATGTCCTTTGAAGGACAGCCGGGAGAGCTCAAAGTAGATTGCAGAAATCCCCCCATTTCGCTTTAAGCAAGGCATGGTACCTGTCATCCCCTTTACGCAGAACCGCGCAGGAGCGCCACAAAACTCTTCAACTCTGGGTCATTTTGTTTCCTCAACCCACGCTCTCGATCTTCGGCGACCCACTTGGCCTTCGATTTGGCGCTGAGGCGGGACGTCTCTCCTGAACCGCACGAGGCGAGGGAGGTGTCCTTCGCTTCTTTCGGCCCACGCGGAGACGGGGTCAGACGGTCAGCTTCAGCTTAAATCTGGTTGCGAAATCCACGACTTCCCCGCGGTAGGTGAGCCCGTTGGAAGGTTGTTGTGAAGACTGTCGTATTGCGCAAGTGCAGCTTAGATACCAATTAGTTTCCTATTAACCAATTGCAAAGTCGCAAGCAAGCCAAGCTTCTATGACCATTTGAATTTTCCTTGAAAGCTCAGCTGATACACTCCATGACCCACATCATAATCAAGCACCTGTTGTCAAAACAGTCTCGATTTGCACTTCAGCTGCGCTTTTGAGTAAAGGCAAACCGAGACCGCTCATTTCGTGCTTTCTGCTTGTAGAAACAAATGCAGCCATCATCCATCCGTGACTGTGACAAGGAAACACCGGCAAAGATGCTTGTGTTCAGTTTGAGGGGGTGTTTACCTAGGGTTTGTGACGAACTGACCTGGGGCCAGGCTTCTGAGGACTTGTTTTGGTCGGTTGGGTCGTTGAGTGAGAAGGATGCCGAGGACTTGGAGTGTCCTGTTGACCTATTCCTGTTGCCAAGTTTTAGGCCGGGTTGACGCGAACTTGATGTGAGAATGGAGTAGATCTCGCTTTGCGTTGTAGCGCCTGTTGCCGAGGCAGGTTAAACTTTTCTTGGGGTCCCAATGTTGGGTTGGTGTATCCTTATAATTTGTTTTCAGTATTCTTATCAACCCTTGCTCGTTTCCAAATCGGGTAAGTGGACCACGCCCCGGCATTCTTGCAGGTCGACGCAGAAGCTTCTCCCATGGACAAGGCTGGGTGAGGATTGTGGAGGACACGTGTTGCGCCAACGGGCGCTAGAGTCATTGTTGCAGTTTCGCAGCAGACATTGAAGTCGGTTCCTCTTTCTTTAATGTTAACAAGCAGCAAGCAGCCTTCCTGCCTGCAGATGTGCAAACTGACTTGACAGGGCCGGCACTGCAGGTGGTTTGCAAATGCGGAGTGGGGTTTGCATTTGTTTTGCTCTCAGATGAAGTGTGTACAAGGCACCTTACTGGACCAGCGTTGCAAGGCGACAATGCAGTGTTAAACATGTCAATGCAGACATGCGGACGTTGACAGAATGATCGGAGCACGGGAGCTTCCTGCCAAGCATGGTTTGCATTCAAAGCACGAGATCGGGGCGTGGGGTGGAAGGGCCATCGCTAACCTGCTCTGCAAGCTTTCGCGCCATGATGCAGCTGCACGCTGAAACATTGACGCCACTGAATGTGAAGCGCGAGTTTGCTGATGGCTCATGTCTTCGTTGATGTTCTTCTGCTTCACCCCCAGCGGTGGTCAGTATCCCATATTGCTCTGGGAAGCTCATTTTGCCATGAGCCTGATGCTTTGTCTAAAGAGGAGTGCACCCTCAGCTTCGCAGCTTCGCAGCATGCACTCAGAAGGCAGCTGTGTGCTTTGTCGAAAGAAAGGTGGGCCACAGCAGGCCAGTCCCCTGGGACCAGTCGCGAGAGAGGCAGTGAACCACCGAGAGAGGCAGCGAACCGAGCGCGGCAAATCCGTGAGCTGGGATAAGGCAGAAAATGAGCTCACCATGGTGAAGATCCTTTGCTAGGGATCCCTGAGTTCAGGTTTTGAAAGTATGACATTTGCAGAATCAGTTCCTTTCAGGTTGGAGTCGGTATCATTCCCAGTGCTTCCAGCAAACCTTTTAGCAACCAGGGAACCCCCTGCACCACCACGTCATATTTTCGTGCCCTCTGCGCTCGGAAGGTCACCGTTCTGATGCCCTCTGAGAAGGCGAACGTCCGAAGCCAGTGGTTTCTGCTTTGGATTCCCGTTTTCAAAACGCAACCCGAAAACGCGGGTACCTGAAAAGGAGAGACCCATGCAGATGCCTTGGTCTGACTCAGGCTGTTTGGCAAATTCGAATTTGTTTGGAGGCCTTGCGTGTATTGTCCAACATGTTGCAGCCATCCTTTTATTGCGAATCAGGTACTGATCGGCAAGACATTGTCCATGGCCGTGGGCGATTCTTCCAGACCCCGAGCAACACCTGTTTGAGCGTCTGCAGCCCACGACCTTCAAACTTGCCCTTCTGTAAGTTAAGCATTGAGTCGTGTGTAATCGCTTCCCCGCAATACTAATACGCCCCGATACGACCCCAATGCCGCAACTAGAAAAAGCCCGAAATTGTTGTTTTGTTCAATCATTTGTAGCACATAAAAAGAGGGCAAAAAGGATGAAGAAGGCACTGTTGTTTTCTATTCTGGTCGGCACAGGGACACAGCCACAGGGTTCTGCAGTACCCCCCCAACGAGACTGCAGTCGGGATGGGCAAGGCATCGGCTGGTTTGGCATTGGTTGGTAGATTAGAAGAAGCATTGAGGCCCTGAGCAGCTGGGCGGCCTTGTTTGACAGGCAACAACGGGTGACTTTGTACAGGCTTGTCGCAGATCCCGAAAGCGCGAGTATAGTATGATGTATATGCAAGCTGACAAAAACTGGAAACCTGGAAGAATTCAGCCTAAGTTCCGATGACACAGCATGAGCAGCTTCAGCTGAGATTTGTGAGACTAACCGGACCATCTCCCAATGTTTCCGGCGGCAGAGGCAAACTTGGATCTGGCCAGTCCTATACACGCACTGTGAGCTGCCTCGTTTGCCTGCGGTTTACACAGGGGTGGGTGGTGGTCACAGTCCGCAAGGCACGTTGTTGAAGCAAATAGTGGTACCCAATCCAGACCTCAGTTTATTTGTAAGATTGAACTGACCACCCTACTCATTGTACTGGATATGTGCAAAACTGACTGTTGAAAGACGAGAGAGACGGCACTGATTTGACGGCACACTGGCACAAAGAATGAAGCATGATCATTTTTGAGAAGCTATACTGCTGACAGCCGGAAAGGTGCCAATTCGGAAACTACTCTTGCTTGAAAGACATGGTGTTATTGACCATTGGTTTGTCACTGAGAAGCCACGGATGCTGGTAGTCTCTCGTTTGAGCAAACAAATCTATAACTTTGTTTTGTTTCACCCCACTATGTCGGGTTCCCTCACTCGAAGGAGTTTGACGCAGTTAGTTGCCTTGTTCGAAGGCTCTTTTGCTTACTGGAGCGTTGTGAGTGAGTGTTCCCCAAAATAAGTAGGCTTGTTGGACGGATTTCGAGGGGAAAACAGAAAGGGACCCGCCCCCGCCACACGAGGGCAGGGGCCGTTTTACGCAGGTGCCTCCTTGTGAGCTGCCATTGTGGCCTTGGAAACCCAGATCTGGGATGGACGGGCGGCTTGTGCCATGCGGGAAAGTAGGAGCTGTGAAGGCCGGAAAGTCCCTGACCATGTATATTGTTTAATGCATTTTGCTTGGATGTTAGGACTTTAACTTTTTGCTAACTAATGGGTTTTCCATTAAACCACTAAAAGTTCAATTCTAGGGGACACTTCCCCACACTTTCCAGGGATCTGTCTTTCCGGGGCTTACCTCCGGAAACCCCAGGAGAAACAGATCCGGTTTTTGGACAGAGCGATGGTTGAACAGAATGGAAAAGGAATCAACCCCTAGAATAGTGCATTGCAACATCTCACAACTTCTAGCATCCCGCAACTTCTGCTTGATATTTTCACCCTAAGGTCACTGAATGAGTAGAAACCGTCGGTTTCCTCGATGGGAAGCTGTTCGAAGGAACGGCCAAAAGGGTCTCACAATATTCATGGGGGGCTGGGGGGGAGGGAGGGGAGGGAGAGGGAGCCCAAATAAGCCCTTATTGAGGCCTGATTTAAAGCTTATTTGGGCTCCCTCTCCCTTTCCTCCCTCCCCCCCAGCCCACATGAAATATGTCCCTCGCTGGCTGCGTTAACGGAGGGGTAGAGCCTTGGCACTGCGCGCAGGTTGCGGTGGGGAGCTCTTGGAGTTTGGACATGTTTCTGGTTGGTGTCAGTTTCCAGGTTGATCCGCCAGACTTTGGGCAAACACAAACACATCAATGCCACCAAGACCAACTTGACATTGGTTCCAGCTCTTGAATGTTTCGGGAGCTTCCATTTGTGTACGCGGCCTGTATTTCCGCCAGACCTTTTGCCCAAGCCGATGTCCGGTGAGTGAGGGCTGTGATGCTCGGCTGCACAGTTGTGATGCTAGGCATGGACTCTGTCACAGTGTCAATTGCCACCGCTGAGTGAGGGTCTACAAGCCCGACAATCCCCCAAAACATTTTTTGGGGGAGGACCCCCCCCTGATGAATTTGGCTCTTCAGGGCAATAGGACTTTCCGGGGCAGGAGCTGGTTTGTTGTTTTCAGCCACCAGGGCCTGACTTTTTTGCGGATGGTATTCTGCCAAACTTGGGGCGGCCTCCAAGGGGAGCAAACAAACACCTTGTCATGTTGAATATGTGTTGTTTTTTTGGCAAGAAACATGTATTTGTGGGACGCACATTTGTTGGGCGAACTTGAGGGTTCAATAGTGGCTTAGTATTAGTTGGTTGAAGCGCAGAGTATATGTGCAACTACGAGCACAACGGGATGCCCCCTTTTCTGGCTGGTTTTTTGGGGCTTGGGGGGTGCCCTGCGGGGGTACCTTTGCTCGGGGGCGGGCGTGGGGAGGCCCAGCGAATGATTGGGTAGGGTTCTTGGGCAAATCTTCTTGCCCCTTTACTTTAGTATATTGCTGGGAATCTGGGAGGCAAAGGGGAAGCATGAAAAATCACAGGGGTTTACGAATGGTGCTCTGATATGACGCTGGCTTAGCACATCAACTTGTATGTGAGAGTTGAGATGATTTGTAGAATAGCTTGTTTCACTCCTAAACATAGCCATGGCGGCGAAACTAATCCAATGAACCGATTTGCCGCTGTAGCAGGAAACACTGGGTGCGCTATTTTCCTATATTATGTTGTAATTACTACCAGATGTGTTCTGTTGCATGCATGCTAGAGCAACGTGCTTCGGCTGTCTTTGACATGATTGCGAGTTGAACATTCCGAGTGATTTATTTGAATTTATGCTACTGCAGGAAAGCATGGGACATAGCGTAGAAGGTTACTGTACAAGCCCTTCTCGTGTGGGTAGCTGCCCGCAGTTTGCCACATGGGCTAGGGGACTAAATGCTTACGGACATGACACCAGCAGCGGGCAAATGCAGAAAGGCACCACAGTGAAAACCGCGGCATATCCCGCTGGGATGGCAATATTAAAATAATTAACGCAGGTGCGAGGTGCACTGGAAGTTTTCCTTGCCGCCCCCTGTCTCACTGCAGTTAGTCTGAGCCAATGATGCATTTCTCTGCATCTCAGTCCAATCCAATCGGTTTGAGTGCTGCCCCTCGCTTCGGAGTTCGAGGCACCGGCCGGGCCACCTTACCCATCACCTTACCTGCAGCACGGGGCGCCCCTTGCTGTACTTCCACGGCGCCTCACTGCGCTTGTATGAGCGCGCGATTGGCAGATGGCGCAATATCCATGAGCTGTGCCGCTGGGAGGGATTAAGATGCACTTCTTCAGAGGGAGTCTTGCAAGTAGGGAAGAGCTCTCAGTATGAGTGAAAAGTGACAAGTAGAAATATAGGCAGAGGTTGAGCTGGGGAAATCCGAGTTGTGTTGTGAAGCGGACCTCGTGCCTAGCTAAAATGAACGCTTCAGCTAGGGTGAGTTCCTTTGATTTCCTTGATCATCTATTTGTTGTATTCAAGTTGCAAGGTTGTCTCAGCAAGCCGGAGAGCCTTCGTATTCAAGCGCGCTAGGCACATTGAAGTTGTGAGGTTAGTGAATGTGAAGGCAGCTTCAACTCCATATTGTTAAGAAATCAGCTTCGGAAGGCTGGTCTAGTCCGATTATGACAGTTTGTGCTAACCCTTTGCATATTCAACTGGCAATGAAGGGGCCAGAGTCTGAACTGCCCTAAAGAACTGCCCACAAATGAGCCATGTAAAATCTTGCGCCGTTCGAGCCAGAGCCAAAGTGTGCTTTGTATACTACTTGGTTACAGAGGTTTAGCTTGAGTATGTTTGTTAGCTCAAGGACTGCAACACATTGACAGCGAGTTCCCGCACGAGGCAAGTCTCGCAGCCTTTCAAGCTAACCAGCCGGCACGGCATACATATGTTCTAATGTGGTATCATGTTCGGCCTAAACGCAAGCTGGCTTGATGCGCCAGGTGTCGCCTTTGTTGCATTCACTTGATTGGGCCGGATCTTGAGTTTGTTGCCACTCGAATCACTCTTCAGCCGAGGCTGAAAGCCCTACGCGACTTGGCAAGAAGATCACTGCAGTCGCCATCGGGACACACAACGGCACGGGCTACTGAAATGCAGTAATATTTCTTGATATGCCTTGACATCTTGGTGGGTTTAACTGACGAAAATGGGACGGGACCTGGGACGGACCCCAAGGTCTCCTGTCTGCTTTGCCTTCAAGGGCTTGCGGGTTGATGTGTCAGATTCAAGATGAACTATGAAGGCGACCTCACCGGGGTGTAAAAAGACCGCTTCCATGGTGATGAATCCTCTTGGTGCACTCTTTGCTTGGGATGGAGAATGACACTAGGCTGTGGTTCAAGTTGCTGCATGACATCAACGTATGCACAATTTGATTCGAGGATACAGAACACTATCATGATGCTTGACGATACTGATATTATGTGACCGTGTTTGTCACCGTTTGTTGCAAATCGCCCCAAGAGAGCCATGAACATCCAGTGTGAGTCGCTTCAAAGGGCTGCAAAGATAAAAATTGTCATGACTCTGGCCAAGTAGTCCCTTGATGGATGATGGCCTGTCCTGGAGTCCTTTCCGTACCTGACCCTTCTCTTCCAAGGCAGGCGGTCCGCGCTGGGGCATTGCTGCAGAGCAGTGTTGCTCGCACAGCAACCCGGCTGGTGCGAGAAGTAGACCACACATGCGCCTTTGTTTTGGTGTGTGTGTGTGTTTTGTTACATGTGTTTGCGGTGTTTATTCCCGTACCTTAAAGAGCCTTGTGGTCTATTGGCGTCGAAAGGACTCGTGTATTTTGTAGCTGGGACGTGGTGAGGTTTCAACAGCTTCCTTGGCAACCGAGGCAAAAGATGGCGCAAGCGAAGTGAACAAACAAACACAGCGGAATTTGTTGATGCTCGACCCCGCGAGGTTACGCATGGTGCGCGAGCGAGTTGACAATTTCACCTTTGATTTTCGAATGGCTAAGCATCCGTCCGCAGATTGTTCGCGAAACGCGGGCTTGCCTTTGGGCCGGCCAATCATCCGCACATTCTTAGCCTCTAAGCAAGAAGGTCGCGCTGTTCAGCGCGATGATTTTAAAGTGCCACAAACAACGTTATGTTGATTGTCAGGCATAATCTCACGTTTTGTGTGTGTCAATCTTCTCAGGATGCCCACGTCAGTTCATAGCCATGTGTGTTGTTGGGCCGTCTCTCAGCCTCTCAGATACGTGTGTTTGATTCATAGTTAAAACATGTGCAGTGGTTTGACAAAGTGTTCGATGCGTGTTATTGCCCAAGGCTGGCGAGATGCGCGAAGTGCGTTTGTTTTTTCCGGAGCATTGGCCTATCCCCTTTAAGTCGCGGTTGGCTATATTTCTGGCTGCCTTTCGTTCCTAACATACCAACTGGCGCATGGACAACTCCTGTTTGTGGAATCGTCAAGTTTCCTTCACGGAGGCGGTCGTTGATACATGGGCGGAGGCCATTCCCAGTGAAGCATCCCCACTAAACGGGACACACCCTAGGCATTCGTAGGCCCTATCAATCCGCGGTGATGGATCCTGGCTTCAGATTCAAGGACGAACCGGCTTGGTCGCATGCAAATGAGTTCGCCGCATGGGTATGGTCAAAATTAAATCACCAGGGCACCCCAGGTTTTAGTTTTTGGTTCCATTTACCTGGGTTCCATTTTGGGGTTACCCTGGTTTTGAATCGGATGCCCCCCCCTAATCCGTTTCCGAGGCTGGCTATGAGATGAGCACCGTGCTGCATGTGTCCAGCCCCAGCATCGATGCTCGGCCGAAGTCATCCTTTAAGCGGTGACTCGGAGTGCACGCCTCTTGATATTTAGCAGGCTGACGCTTGATTCCGCCGACCCCCAAGACTTCTTTTCCCGGACTGTCAAAAAGGCAGCACCCACATCCCCAGCATGCAGAGCTAGGCACCTCTAGTATGATGCCTGCAAAGCTGTGGATGCAAAAGCTGCCTATTGTCCGGTGCTCCAAGACCAAAAAGGCAGCTCATCAGCGATGGTGATGCCGGTGATGCCAAAAGCTGCCTTGTTT